CAGCTGGACATAGCCCTGGGGCAGCGAGTGAATAGAGTGCTGGGCCTGGAGTGAGCAATAGCTAGGTTCATCCACTTATTGGCTGCTTTGTGACCCTGGGCAAGCCACTTAGCCTCTATTTGCCTCAGTTTCCCTATCTGTGAAGTGGAGATCATAACAGCACCTACCTCCCAGGGATCAAATGAGATAATAATTGTAAAACACTTAGCAACTGGAACATAGTAGGCACTGTATGAATACTAGCTATTATTAGCTGGTATTATCAGTCTGAAATTTCGTGGCAGTGATCAGGTCTGGCCTTCTTTACTGCCCCAGCTCCTGCTTGGGCATCCTGTAGTGGGGGGCTTGGGCTCCAGCAGGTCTTGGGTTTGAGTTTACTGTAGTTTAAAAGGGCAAAGGTCAAAAGAACCCTGAAGCCAAGGATTTGAAAGGAGCCCTAATTGTGCCCTAGCCCTGAGGATTTACTGGGAGAATTTCTGTCCTCCTAGTTTCCAGACGTTGAAATATGTCAATTTCTATCTCTCTGTCAAGACCTATCCCAAGTCCTGCCTGCTCTTTGCTTCTGCCTTCTGAAGCTCTTAGCCAGGAGTGGGGCACCTGTAGCCTCAAGGCCACATGTGGCCCTCTGGGTCCTCAAGTACGGCCCTTCGACTGAATCCAAACTTCACAGAACAAATCTTCTTCATAAAAGGATTTGTTCTGTAAAACTTGAACTCAGTTAAAAGGCTACATGTGGCCTTGAGGTGGCAGGTCCCCCCCCCCTTGTTAGCTATTCTCTCTTTTGCTGGTTTTGACTAGTTCCTCCATCCTCAGGAGGTTGCACAGGGCAGCCATGTCTTTGTTTTTCTCTAGGCTGCACTCCCAACTCTCTGGATTTTCTCTGCCCTGCCCACGTTCTGTATCCTGCCCCACTCAACTTCTCGGTTTCCTTTTCTGTATTGTCTTTCCCTGTTAGAATGCAAGCTCCTTGAGGACAGGCACTGTCTCTCTGCTTGCGTTTACATTCCCGACACTTAGCATGTCTGGCCCATTGTCATTGTTCAGTCATTTTCTAGTCCTGTGTGACTCTTGGTGACCCCGTCCGAGGTTTTCTTGGCAGAGATCTTGGAGTGGTTTTTCCATTTCCTTCTCCAGATCATTTTTACAGATGAGGAAACTGAGGTAAATGGGAGTAAGTGATTTCCCAGGATCACACAGTGTCTGAGGCCAGATTTGAACTCAGATCTTCCTGACTCCAGGACTGGCATTCTACCCACTGCGAACACTTAATAAATGTTTGTTGACTCGACTTGCTACTTCCTCTCGACGCCTTCCCTTTGCACTTCTAGAGGAGCTCCCCACAAATCAGTACTTAGAGTCAGAAGATCTCAGATCTAGAGCTTGGAGGACCCTAGGAGGCCATCTTGCTGAATCTTCTCATTTAATTGATGAAGAAATCGAAGACCAGTGGGCCTTGGTGACTTGATCAAGGCCATATGGGCTAGTCTATTGTCTTCTGGTGCTCGCTGTTTTGTCAAGGAAGGCAGGAATCCCTAAAGAGTCTGGTGGCTTCTTGGGGGCAGGGGTCACGTCTTATACTTCCCTTATACTTTCCTTCCCATGGGGTAGGTACAAAACAGGTAACTAATTGAGGTGCTTTCCTGACTTTCGCTAAGTGCTGGACTTCAAGTCTGGACGTTTGGGCTCAGGGCCTAGCTCTAATCCTTGCTATCTGTATGATCTTGGACAAGACATTTACCCAAGAGATCTGATAGAAAAAAAAAATTTGATTCATAAAAGGAAAAAAAATTCCTAACAATTAGAAGTGTACCAAGGTGGAATGGGCCACCTCATGAGGAGATGAGCTCCCCATCACTGGAGGTATTCAGGTGAAAGCTGGACAGCCATTTGTTCGGAAGGTGTTTTAGGGAGGATTGCCTTTCCCGTATAGATTAGATTGAGGTTCTGTGATTTAGTGATTTGGGGGAAAGTACCTGGTAACTATGGCAACATGCAAATGAAGCCCAGGAATAGCCTAGGGAAAGGGGGATGTCATGTTAAGGAAATCCCATGCTTTTTTGGAGCAAGGACTTCCAATCTGCTGCAGAGAGATTTTTGAGGAAAAAAAAAAGTTTGGCGAGCATCTCGGTACAATGCCCACCACTGCCTCCACTACAATGACCTGGCATAAAGTCAAAAGTCAACTCTTGTTTCCATAATACCTTATCCATAGCAATTTCCTCCCAACACCTTTATGGGTAAAGTAGGTATTACTGGCCCCATTTTGCAGATGAGGAAACTGACACTGAGATAGGTACAGACTTGTCCAGGGCCACACCCATAGTAAGTGCCAGACCAGGATTCGAACCTAAGTCTTTTGACTCTGGGTCTAGTCCTCTTGTCACTCCCTGAATCAGCTGGGTCATTCTTTGCAGCCCTTTCCACGCTTCCCACAAGGACCAGTGACATCAGTTGAGTGGCTCAGTACTGACAGCCACCTGAAATCCGATGGCTCCCTCCAAAACCCCACTCCACCCAACGCTGAGCTGTCTTCCCAAGGCTGACGCCCGGGGGCTGCACCCAAGCTGGCATGCCTACACCTTCTCACTTTCTGTCCCTTCCCTTCTTAAAACCCAGGTTTCAGGGCCTGATCCACTTAGTGTGGCCTGCAGAGGGCGCCCCAACCGCACCTTTGGGCTTCCTTCCCCTCTTTCCACAAGGCAAACTCAAGGTCAGGAATTTCAAAGTCCCATCCCAGACCTTCCATCCTGCCCTGCAGGTCACCTGGCCAGGTGAAAGCGACATTTTCTCCATCCTTTGTTGGGACTTAACTACAGGCGGGGGGGGGGGGGGGGGGGGGGGGGGGCTTTGAGGTCTTCTAATTGCAGAATGCCAGAACTTGAAAGTAACTTCTGAGAGCATTCAGAGACAGTGTGGTCTAATGGGTGAAGCCTCGGGCCTGAAAGCTGACTTTGAGTTCCACTGTGAATACTTAATAGCAGTGTGTGTGATCAAGGACAAAGTCATTTAAACCATCAGAGCCTCAGTTTCCTCATCTGAACAATGGGGGTAATACTATTTTTACAAGAGTTGTTTCGACAGAACATTTTGAAAACTTTAAATGATAGACAAATATGAGTTATTATTTAGTACCACAGTTGCGTTTTATTATGAAGATAGAGGCCCAATGAAATGAAGTAATAGAATCATAGTTTTAGAAGTGGAAGGAAACTTAGAGGTCATCAAATCCAATCTCCTCATTTTATAGATGGGAAACTAAGGCAAAGACAGATTAAGTGACTCACCCTGGGTCTCAGATCATAAGTGGATTTGAACTCAGGTCTCCAACCCTTTGTCCACTACACCAAGTTCTTGGGTCTTCAGCTTGAGCCAGGATGCAAACTCAGGTCTCCTGACTCCAAGTCCAGTGTTCTGCCCACTTGACCACACTGCCTCTCCCAACCTGCCTTATTTTACAGATGATCAAGCTAAGGTTGGAGTGAAATTGGGGGCCAGGAGTGCTGGAGAATTCTGCCTGGCCAGGAGAAGGACCAGCTTAACAGAGAAAGTCCTGACCAGACTCGGGTTCTAGGCTTTATTTTCCTCATCTGCAAAAGGCTCTTCCAGCTTGGAATTCCTGATCGATTGGGAAGAAGGAGCCGGAGTACAGGGAATAGACCCCGCCTTTGCTTACTTACTACATTGTCCAAAACACCTTCAGCAACCTTAGAACCCTCCTCTGCAGGGCCCCATGCCCTTCCCACTCGAGGTTGTGGCTGCCCCCTTCTCCCAACTTCTACTTTATGAGAACAACAGAAGAGAGGCGTAGTCCACCCGCACAGATGCCCCAGTGAGCAATCTCCCAGAGTGGAGCTTGGGCTCCTTCCCTGCTGACATAGGAGTCAGAGTCCCAGCCCCACCTAATCCCCTCTCTAGGCCCTTTTCCCCACCAACCATACCCTGAACCTTTGAAATGCCAAGGTAGCTCTGCTGCTTGAGATACGAGACAGAGGAAGCACCATAGTGGAAGTGAGACAGGGCTGGTGGCCATTTCCTCGGGTCCCCACCGGTACTTCCTTATCTACTCAAGCAGCCTGCATGCCCATTTCTCCAACACACCCACATCACAACCAGGAAGCAAAGGGGATAGTACTATGGCCTGCACAGCCATGCCCTCTTAGGGCCAGGGGCAACCTGAGCCTCTTCTTTTCTGTGGGGAGGGAGCACCCAAAGCCCCTCTCTAGGTCTACAACTCTGGCAGAAGCCCATCTGTATCAGGTGAAGAGGGACAGCTCAGAGTATTACAAATGCCACCCAAGAAAGGCCTGGAGTCACACTGGGAAAATGGTCAGAAGTTTAAGAGAGACCCTATCTGGGGCATGCAGGAGAATCCCTGTCCCTAGGCAGACCCATTTCCTGGTCTGACCTCCTCATCTTTATCTTTTAATGTCATATAAGCCCATTAGTACCAGCTCCCCATAGAAGTCCAGAATACCTCCTCCTTCTACTCCTGGCTTCGGACACCAGTGACTGAGCCACCTGGGGATGCCTGGGTAGGCATCAGTGGGGGCCTTCCTGTCTTATCTGGGATCTGGGCTGGGAGAGGGGTGAATGAGGTTAGACTTGTTTGTTCTTGGGGTTAAAAGAGCTCCCACCTACATTTTCTTCTAGGGTCCAACAGGCTAAACCAGGGGTGGGGGAACCTGCGGCCTTGAGGCCACATGTGGCCCTCTAGGTCCTCAAGTGCAGCCCTTTGAATCCAAACTGCACAGACTCAGTCTAAAGGCCACACCCAAGGACCTAGAAGGCTGCATGTGGCCTTATGGCCACAGGTTCCCCATCCTGGCTAAACTTTGTCATCAGCTGTTTCCTGATTTACTTGTGTCTCAAGCGTGCTTTCCTCTTTTTTCTTGCCCTACTAGACTCCGGTCCTTATCCTCGGAAGGCAGATAAGACAGAGGCAAGGACTTTGATGCAGGAAAGAGGGAAAGAGAAGGGGCATGAAGTCAAATGTCACATACCTTCTGATGGGGAATCACTGGCATTGGAGACTCAATCCGAGGAGCTGAGGTAGAGATGGAAATGGGGCGCTTTGACCTAGGGAAAAACCAGAAACGAAGTGACAATGGGAATCATTCTTCCATGCAGAACCCAAAGCAGTCTGAGCTATTTCCCCAGCCTCACCCCACCTCCCCAGAACACTCTGACCTAGTGCTTTGCTTTGCTTTTTTTAAATTAATATTCATTTACTTTCTCACTCCTGACCCCTCTTTAATTTAAAAGAAAAAAAGAAAAACAAAACCCTTACTCGAGCAAAACAAATTCCCACATCATCCACATCCAAACATGTGTTTCCCCAGTTCTCTTTAAATTTAATTACATTGTTTGTTAAATTCATCTGCTTTATACCAACTACATTTCCAAATGTGTCCCTCTTCCTGCACCTCCCCTTAGGGGAGAACCAGTCCTTATAAAAAGAAGGAAAAAAAGGAAAAATGTTTCAGCAAAATTATGCAATATAGCAAGAGAATTCTGATGGCATAGGCAGCATTCACCACCCATAGCCCTCCACCTTCACAAAGAAGAGAAGGAGATATATCTTCTCCTCTCCTCTTTGTGACCAAGCTTTCTGGCCCAGTTTTCATCAGAAACCCATAGGTAAGAGTGGGACCTTGGACCAGGGGGAGGCTCCCCTGGCCTCTAGGAAAGACTGCTATTTCTTCTCTGACCCCTAATATGAGATGAGGATAGTTCAGAGGCAGGAGGAGGGACGTGGTGGCCTCTAGAAGTCCCTCTTGGACTTCACGGTGCCAATGACTACCCACAGACAAAGAAAGCTGACACGTCCATGACACTCAGATCGTGATCCTAAGGTAGGACCTGAATAGCTAAGCTCTGAGCCCAGAAACTCAAAGAATGTTAATGTCACATTAATGTCAGCTGTCAGTATTGTTACTATTCTTACTAACAAGAACAATAATACTGGAGAAGAAAAGCTGTAGCGTACAATCAGCCTTGGAGAGGGAAAGCTTAAGTCTCACTTCTGACACGTACCAGCTGTGTGACTCTAGGTAAGTTACTTAGCTTCTCAGTGCTCTAGGCCAGAGGTCTCAAACACGTAACCCCATGGGAGGGCTGTCTCAACCAGATTAAAATGTAATTGGGAAATAGTTAATAAAAATACAATAGAACGGATAACGCTAATGTGTGGTTTTTTAAGTCAATATGTGACCTAAAAGAGATCCTTATGTATGGTCAGTGGCCCCGTTTCTATTTCACTTGGACGCCATTGTTCTAGGCAACTGTCTAAGGTTGTCAATTAAAGAGAGAATGCCAATATGTGCATGGGTAGAGGGAGTGTTCTCATCGGGGAGATTCCAGGCCTAATTCCTGGCCTTATTGTTATGGCTGTTACCACTGTTGTTATGAAGTGTAGGGAGAAAATGAGGAGGTGGGAATTTCTCAGATCAGACCATGCCATTACAAAGAGGACCAGTAGGGTTGGGGTTTGAGGATAGATGAGTGGGTCAGCTTGACCTGTTGCAGAGACAGGGCATGGTGACACAGTGTAGTGGTTGGAGCCTCATTTCAAGCTGAAAAGAAGACCATATTTTGTTGGGCGGTATACTCACTAAAAGGAATAAAATGCCCTGTTGTGAAGGTGATGGAATATGAACTCTGGATCCCCTGTCTGGCCTCTCCCTTTCTCTGCCCCTGAATTATCTCAGGTTTTCCTTCCTATTCGACAGAAGGAATGCTGGCCGTGGAGGCTTGTCTCATCTGCTTCCCTTGGTCATCCCCATCAAAGGGTACTGACCAAGTGTCTGCTCGGCTTCTTGACTCTGTATCCTGTCCATCTTGGACAGGGTCTTCTATTAACTTCATCCTACTAATAAGAACTGACATCTATACAGCATTTTAAGGTTTGTAAAGAACTTTGCTGAAATCCCAATGGAGCTCTGTCAGGTAGGCCCTACAGGTGTTATTATCCCCATTGAGCAGATAAAGAAACTGAGTCTCAGAGAGATGAATTGGCCTATGGTCGCAGAATTAGTAAGCGAGATTAAAACCCCAGTCTTTCTGACTCCAGGTTCTAGGACTCGTTCCATTTTACCTTGAGTACAATGAAGTACCTGAGTGCGAATCCTAGTTTTGTAACTTTTGTGACCTTAGATAAGGAAAGCTTCATGTCTGTCTACATAGTATCAGGGGAGATAAGCTTTCAAGTCTACCTGAAAATCTTCACAACTTGAATGTCCTTGGGTGACCCAGGGTCCCCTATTTCTAAGGCCAAGGGTTCAGAGGAACAGAGCAGAAGGGTCTTCTCTGTCAATGGGAACTGATTTTCCCTGTTGTGCAGAACTCCAAGGTTGCCTAAGCCCCTCATTCTGCTGAGCTGATTTGCCTGGCAGTGCCAATGGAGAGAGGCCTTCTCAAGAGCAAGGAAAAACAGAGCCCCAGCTAAGGCTGTATACGATGGAAGTGCTATCCATGGATAAAAGAAGTTCTGCCCCCACCCACCACCATTGGAGGTTATTGTGAAGGGGCCGGGTGACTCCTTGTCAGGAGATGTGGAGGGGACTCTTGGTCTGAAATGGTTGGACCAGATGACCTCTGAGGGCCCTTCCGTTAGTCTGAGAAGTCTCCCATCTGGCCAGATATCCAGGATGTTTGGCTTTACTGGGACTGAAGAGTAAGGGTAGAGTAAGAATAAATATGGGCAGCTAGGGGGCGCCACAGTGCACAGAGTGCCAGGTCTGGAGTCAAGAAGACCCATCTTCATGAGCTCAAATCTGGCCTCAGACACTTCTAGTTCTGTGACCCAGGGCAGGTCCCTTAACCCTCTTTGCTCAGTTTCCTCATCTGTAAAATGAGTTGAGTAAAGAATTGGCAAACCACTCCAGTATCTTTGCCAAGAAACCCCCCAAATGAGGGTCACGGAGAGTCAGACATGACTGAAACGATTGAACAAGAACAAATAGGCCATAATATCCATTCCTCCCCTAGATTTAGCTGTAACCTTCCCAGGATCTCCTGGGACCCGCTGGTTATGGCTCACTCAATGTAGTTCTGGGCCCTGGAGGCTCTTTGCTCTATGTTGAGAGAACTGTTTCCATTCCAGAGTCTCAACATGTAGCTTTGCCCAAGCTGGGAAATGGGTTTGTCAATGGTTAAGTGGAACCTGGCCTGGGTGCCTCCTGATGCGGGTCACTGAGACTTCTTTGGCGACAGGCTTTAGGAATCTTGAAGTCGTAGGCCTAACTCCCTTAGGCTCCATATCGGCTCCTTAGGGGGAGATACGCTCAATTCAGCAAGAAAGCAGCTGGGCCATCTTACAATGCAAAAGGCAGCTTAACCAGCCGCTGCTGCAGGAGCCTTTGCCAGGCTGGCACTCTCTCAAGAAGGCTGTACTTCCATGGACCCTGGCTAGGACCCTGGGCAATTTCCCTGACCTCTCTGAACATCCCGAGAGACACAAACTGAGGACACCATTCCCTCTTCCCAGGATGGTCAGAAATGAAAAGGGGTGAAGCTTTGTGCTGTGCTCAAGAAGGAGGCTATGGAAACGACAGAGTGTTTCCTTATTTTCAACTATTTCAAAGACTTCTGTGTCCCAATGAGAACTCTGTGCCTGTAGGAAATGGGCACTACCTCTCAGAGACCCAGGGATAGCTCATGGTGGTAAGGAATCCAGAGCGGCTGAGGCTGTAAAAACAGCTGGCTTGGAGGCTTGGGCCAACCTGGGCTGGTACCTCTGGTGCTTTTATCTCCAGAGGGGTCCATCATTGCCAGCCTTGCTTGGGATGGGTCTGGGGCCAGTACGCAGGCTTCTGTTAGAGCAACAGTCCAGACCCAGCCAGGCCAGGACGTGTGGGACACTGTGGGAGGTCTGGGGGAAATGTGTTTTCAACTAGAAAGCTCGTCTCTGGTGTGCCACAGCCAGGATGCCACGTTAGCCTTGAGGAAGCTTTCCCAGTCTATGGGGAAGAAATGATGAATGAACACATTGCTCGACCCACCCAGTTCTCTATCCACAGGGAAGATCTCTGAGCCACAGCCGATGGAAGGAGAAGCCAGATGGTGCCAGGTGGGTCTTCCCAGGGGAAGTCCAGGGCTGTCTCCCTAAGGGAGTGCTCTGCCCCCTTCCCGGCTGCTTCCCATCAGCATTTTGAATAGAGAGGAAAGCAAATCCCTCCTTCTCACGCTCCCGGAGGCACGAATCCTTCCCAGGCCTCATCTAGGCCTCTAGCCCCGGTGGCTGTCAAAAGCTTCTCTGTTGGAAGATCATAGGATCATGAGCGGTGAAAGGAACCTTGAGAGGTCATTCAGGCCACCCTGCCTCCTTCCTTTGATAGCAAAGCCTGGAAAGGTGAAGTCACCTACCCAAGGCCCCATATGTAAGCAGAGCTGGGATCTGGATGGGGGTCAAATCCAGCACTGAGTGATCCCAGATTTTCTTACAGAACTCCGTCGAGACCTCTTCTTTCCCCCTTTCACATTGTACCCTGTGCCCTGTTGATCTACGTGTACACAGGATATTGGTGTGCGGGAATGATCCCTGTTACTGGGTAAGCTTTGTCTAGAAGGCTTTGATGTTCCTCCCCGCCAGGTACCGCTCCTGGGGTGCCTTGAGGTACTTGGTAAATATTTGTCAAGTTGAGCTGGACTGAATAGAAATCTCTTGGCCCCTGTGGAGCCCTTGTCCTCTTTTGGATTCCTTATAGACACTGCTCCCAAAGTATGTACGGCCTCAATTCGCATGACATATTGAGACTTCTTTCTTTACCACAAGCTACGTCCGATGATTATATTCTGTCTGTCTGCTTAGTAGTAGTAGTAATAGTAATAGTAGCAGTAATAGTAGCAATAGTAGTAGTAGTAGTAGTAGTAATAGTAGCAGTAGTAGTAGTAGTAATAGTAGCAGTAGTAGTAGTAGTTCTCATTTGATCCTCACATCCACTCTGTGAAATAGGTGCTGTTATTATCCCAATTTTACAATTGAGGAAACTGAGGCAGACAAAGGCTAAGTGACTTGCCCAGGGTCGTACAGCTAGTGAATCTCTGAGGCCAGAGATGAACTCAAGTCTCCCTGACTCCAGGTCCAGTGTGCTAACCACTCTACCACCTAGCTGATTACTTCTCTGAATGAATCTACCTGTCTTGCATTATGGATCTAGAGCTGGGAGGCATGGACCAGAGGCCATCTGATTCATCTCCCTCATTTTGTGGCAAAGAAAATTGAGGCCCATGGAGGTTCAATGACTTGCTCAAGGTCATACAGGTAGGGTGCATCAGAGGCAGAATTTGAACCCAGGTCCTCTGATGTTAGGGCTCTTTTCATTGTCCTACAGAGTCTCCCTTGTATCATAAGTTCTAGGCATTATTTGACTTGTTTTGCTCTAATTTATTTTCCCCTTAGTTACTTGATAACTACTTTACATAATAAAAGAGATCCCCAACCTTTGCTTTGGCCCAGCGTGTCATGGTGTGTGTAGGGGGGGGAAGGAGGGAGTCATGTTGAAGAAGGGGAAGGAATGACCACAGTGAGCTCAGAAGTGGTGCACATCCTCAAAACCAGGGAGTGACTGCAGCAAAGGAACAGAGGGGGCCGCCCTCCCTGCCCCGTCTGGGTGCTGGAAGGCCATCACAGAGAGAATCCAAAGCAGAGTCATCTGAGTTCTGCTTTCTACTTGCTTATATACTTATGTATGGGTATATTGTCTCTCCCCTGACCCCACCGCCAGCCTCCTTGAGGGCAAGCTCTGGCACAGAGTCAGTCAATGAACATTTATTAAGCACCTACTACATGCCAGGAACCTACTATGCACCAGGTGCTAAGCACAGTAGACATAATAAGTGCTTTTTCATTGATTGATACCATATTCTTTCTGCCTAAGTTCATAGTATCTATAGTTGAACAGAGTTCAGAGTTCACTTAATCCAATTCCCTTAGTTTATGGACTGAAGCCCAGAGAAGTGATTTGCTCAAGGTTATACAGGTATAGTAAGGAGCAGAGTCAGGATTTGAATTCAGGTCATTTGCCTCAAAATTCAGTGCTTTTCTCGCTGGGGATCGGGAATGAGAATCAAAGAGGAAAATGCCTTTGGAAGAGAGAAGGATCTCATCAAACTTCCTCTGTCCCTGTGCCTGGGGCTTTGGGTATTTTTGAGGCAGGTCTGCTTCTGGAAGCTGTCCTTGCTCCTCAGGAGCAGGCTAGAGACCTCAGGCACAGAATCTTCTCACTGAGATCTCATGGGGCCCGAGGGAAGTTTCTGGGGGTAGTTTGTGTAAGGTCAGAACAGGGCTGGTGGGGAGGGGGCGGATGCCTCACACTCTCCAAGCCCACACAAGTGGAAAACAACAGTAAAGACACCAGTAGCCACCTCGGCACTGCCAGAAAAGAATGTTATCTCAAGTGGTATCTCCCTGACAAACTTCCTGTCCCTCAACACCCCCCCCACCCCGCTTCCCAGGCCTCCCGCTGTCACTTGTCCTGTTTCCTAGGCCTTCACTGGGCTGAGCCCTGCCTGGGAACCCCTGCTGCAGACTCTGGGTTGGGGTCTGTTTGTGGGCTCTGATTTGGGCTGGCCCAGAATTCTATCTGCTCTCCCTGGGGGCTCAGGGCTCTGGCCTGGCCTGGCCTGCTTTTGGTATGTCCTCCCTTTTTTAGGGCCTGCTGGCTGCCTGGGGTGCCAGCGTCCACAACGTGGCAGGATCTGGGCCTCTCGCCACCTCTGTGACCTATGCTCCTGCAAGGCCTTCTATCCCGGGAGGCAGACAGTGTGGGTGTGAGCTGGTGTCAGAGCAGACCGACAGCTGGGGAAGGAGCTGACAGGCGCAGATAAAGGAATTCAGCATTGTTGTGATTATTGTCACTTAGAATTAGGGCCTTCCTGCTTTGGGGGCTGCCTCTCCTTCCACTGTCCCACACTGCCTGATGTAGGCAGCTCTGTGCCCCCTCAGTGTGGTTAGCAGTTCCCCAATGCCATGAGGGCACAGAGGGCACACCCTTCACTGGGAGAGGGGATTTCCTCAGCCTAGGCCCTTAAAATCACAGATCCTTTCTACCCCATCCCTATGACCAGAGTCAAGAGGGTACAGGGAAAAAGAACACTAGCTTTGAGACAGAGGACCTGGGTTCAAATCCAGCCTCAGTGTGATCTGAAGTCCTCTGGGCCTCAGTTCCCTCATCTATAAAATGAGGGGATTGGGTTCAATCATCTAAATGGATGATTCCTCCTGGTCCCCAGGCTTGTGTCCTTACTGGTGATTAAACCAATCCAATAAACATTTATTGAGAGCCTACTGTTTGCAAGGGAATGTTTTAAGCTCTGAGGACATAAATTTCAAAATGTAAGTCTTTCTGTTGGAACACAGATACTTTTTATTTTGAGGCAGCTGGGGTTAAGTGACTTACCCAGGGTCACACAGCTAGTAAATGAGTCCAGATTTTAACTCAGTCCTCCTGCTCCAGGGCCAGTGCATTATCTACTGCACCACCGAGACGCTGGACAGGCACATCTTTCTGCTCCAGACAACCCATAAGCCTGTATGGGAATGACCCTTCTGTTTTTTGTGGTGAGGACAAAGTCTGTTACTACTTCTGGTCACCACAAGATTCAGGCAGGGACTACTTCCTTTTGTTTTATGTCTTTCTAGCACCTAGCTCGGGTGACTGGTGCAGAGTAGGTGCCTAATAAATGCTCGTTGAGGGGCAGCTAGGTGGCGAGGTGGATAGAGCTCCAGCCTTGAAGTCAAAAAAAGACCTGAGTTCAAATCCAACCTCAGGCACTTGACATTTACTAGCTGGGTGACCCTGGGCAAATCACTTAACCCCGATTGCCTCACTAAAAAGCAATAAATAAGTAAATGCTCATTGACTTCTTGATTGTCAATTTTATGATTAAGATAACAGCTAACATTTATGTAGTACTTTACTGTTTGCCAAGCATTTTACTTATATTATCTCGGTTGAGATCATCATTAACTCATCTTCATACAACACTTCAAGGGTTATATAACACTTTCCTTACAACACCCTGCTGAGTGATATGGTTAGCACACAGAAGGCACTTAACAGATACTCCTTAATTGGAGGATTGATAAAGGAGAGTCAGCTCTCTGAGAGAGGGGATGAGGTTAGATCTGGGATGTTAGAATGAGTTAGTTACAGAGGGAATCCCAGCTGTGCTGGGGTCCATGAGAATGGGCCTGGCCTGGGAGGTTCTCCCCAATTAACTAGCATAAAAGAAAGAATCACTATTTGTAAACTTTGGGGCCAACCAGTGTATCCGGCTGCACTTTGACCCTTGCGAGGCTTGGGGAACACTGCATCTGGGCTTCTCTTGATGGGAAGGAGAAAGAAGGGAGTGAGTTGGTCAACACTGGGTGGAGGCACCACTAATACCTGCCATAATACTAAAGTCTAAAGGCTTCTTGGTTGGCTAAGAGTGAGCCTGAGACTGGAAGATGGGGCAGTGACCTCCATCCAGGGCACCCAGGGGGAAGAATCCCAGGATTGACTCAGGACTGTTCTGAAGACAAAGATGCCATTCCCATCTGGGGTCCCAAGGAGAGATGATACTGAGATATGTTGTGCTCGGCTTGGAAAGGATTATGAGTCAGGCTAATGCCGGGTAGTTTGGGCTAAGAATCAAGTTTCCCTTCAGATAGGGGAGTTTTCTTTTATGCACATCTCTAATTACCTTACTCTATTTTATTATATCTGAATGTGTATTTATCTTTTCCCCACTATTAAACCCTAAAGCCAGTGTGCCCTGCTGGATAGGGAACTGGCTTAGAGGCAAGAAGACCTAGGTTTGAGTCTCAATGCTAACACATCCTCCTTATGTGACTTTGGACAAGTCACTTAACTTCTCAAGTGCCCGAGCCAGCTCTCTAAGACTGAGGTCCATGGAAAGTGATGGCCTGCGCTGCTACAGGGAGCTTCCTCTCATAGGAATTCCCTGTGCCCATGAAATCACAATTCCTGTCCTTGTCCCTGCCTCTGCCCCAGCCCTGTGCCTGCCCCTGTCTCTGTCCCTGTCTCTGTCCCTGTCCTCGTGCCTATCCCTATCAAAACCTGGGACACAACACTCTTGTAACCTAGGAATCTAGGTGGCACAGTGGATAGAGCACTAAGGCCTGGGGTCAGGATGACCTGAGTTCAAATCCAGCCTCAGACACTTACTAGCTATGTGACCCTAGGCAAGTTACTCACCCTATTTGCCTCAGTATCCTAAACTGTAAAATGGAGATAACAACACTACCTACATCCCAAGGTTGTTATGAGGATCAAATGAGATAGTATTTATAAAGTGCTTAGCACAGGGCCTGGCGTTTGGTAAGTGCTATATAAATGTATCTTCCTCCTCCTCCTCTTCTGGTAGGGAGCATTTTAGACAAGAGTAAAGGGGAAGCAGGCAGGCGGGAGCTCAATCAGGGAACCCAGGAATAGAAATGGCAAGAAGGGAACAGATATTTAAGGTTCAAGAGCACAGCAGTTCCCTGGCCCAAGGAGCCAGGTTGGCTCTGCCCAGGAAGGTCAGGAAGCCTCCAGCAGGGCCTTGTAATTAGTGAAAGATCAAAGCCTTGAGGGCTGAAGGCAAGGTTGGGGAACCAGCTCCGAGAGAGGGAGCGGGCAGCTGAGCAGAGAAGATGTGCAAGGCCCAGGCTCAGGCCTTCATTCTTCATCACTCAGCCCATTTCTCTGCTGCCATCTTGGATAGAATCCACACTGAACCAATCTGTGCTCATCTTCTTGGAGGCTGGTATTCGGGGCTGGGCCCAGGACAGGTCTTCAGCCTGGATGCTGTCAAACCTCTGAGGTCCCCCTCCCCACGCCCAGGTCCCGGCCTGGCCCCCAGAGCAGGTTCTGACTTACTTTTGCAGGGTGAGGCTCAGGTTGTAGCTGGCCGACTTGATCTTGTTCTGGGCCTCCAGGTGGGTCATGGTGTCTGTGTTCACACCATCGATAGCCACCACAAGGTCCCCCTGGCTGAGCTGGGACTGGGCTGCCTTGCTGCCAGGAGTGATCTGGGGGAACAGGAAGAGGGCAACATTCAGAGGGGTCTTGGTGGCCGTGGCCATGGAATTGATGGTCCAGAAAGAACCGAGGGGTTGGCGCTTTTCCCCAGCTGGGCTAGGGAGGAGAGTCAGGGCTACAGTGGTAGAGAGATGACCAAGTCTGTGTCCAACTGGCCTAAGAACCTGGATGCACGCTTCAACTCCAGCAGTCTGTGATACTTTGGGAAGAGACAAGTGGAGCTGTGTCCAGGCCTCCTTCTCCCTCCCCCTTCCCTCAGCAGGCAGGTACCGGTAAATGTTTAACAACCAGCTCTCCGAGGGAGGCAACTTTTTCACCCCACTTTTAAGTTTAATCAGGATTATTAACATTTTTTCCATCACTTTCTTAAATCTAGACAATTGATACAACAGTAAATCCAGCCCTGATTTATAGCATCTGAGGATTTCTGAGGTGTAAATGCTCACACTGAAAATTTAGCCATCAGTAAGAGACAGTTCCAGCACACCCCTGACCCCACCCACCTCTAACCTGGTCCTCTAGTGTTATTCCATGGGATGCCAACTTCCAAAACTCCTGCTCCAAGGTGACAGACATCATAGGAAATGATTGTGCAATCATAGAACTTCTAACTGGCAAAATCTTTATGAGATTATCTAATCTAACCTTCTCATTTTATGGATGAGGAAGCTAAGGCCCAAAGAGGCTAAATAATTTGTCCAAAGTCACACAGCATATTAGAGGCAGTGCTAGAAATGGGATCCTGGTCTCCAGACCATCAGTTGAGGTAATAATAATAATAATAATAATAATAATAATAATAATAACAATAACAATAACAATTAATAATAATAATAATGTTGTTATATAATGCTTTAATGGTTGTAAAGCACTTCACAAATATGATCTCGTTTGATCACTACAACAACCCTTGATGGTTAGGTACTATTATTATCCTCACTTTATAGATGAGAAAACTGAAGCATTCAGAGTTGAAATGACTTGCCCAGGGTCACACAGCTAGTGTCTTCTTACGATCTCTAAGAAGCATTCTAGCTCTAAGCTTCTATGATTCGATAGATACTGGCTTTTGGGTGCCTGTCCTTAGAAGCCCAGCCCCCTGGTGATAGGCCATGTGTGATGAACCATCAATGCCCATCTCTAGATGAAGCAGTCAGTCCCCAGAAGCCCTGCCCATAAAGTCCCTCTAGCTACGTCACTGTCCCTGGGCCATCATGACCCAAAGCTGTCACTGCTCCTGAAAAGCCCCTGGGCTTTTCTTCACCATTGACCACGCCAGTAAAACACCCAACTCCAGCCCTCTCCCCAGCCCCAATGCCAAAGCCCAAACAAGCCTTCAAAAGGGTCCTGAGGACTGGAGGAGAAGAGGAAAGCCAGACCCCAAGCTCCCTGGAGCACTTGTTGTGGGGAAGGGAGGAGCTCTCTTCCTGACCCTCGCCTTGGCCAAAGTCTGACTCTTGCCTAGGAATGCCTAGGCCTTCACACCTGCCCTCAGGGCTGCACCATGGGCTAAGGCCCAGGGAAGTCTCAAAGAAGGACCACTGTTGGGAGGATGGGGGGCTTCAAAGTTCTAGGCTCTCAGCTTGAGGCTTCAAGGCTCTTTCAGGATCATTGTACCAGTGCAGAGATGGATGAAGACCTTGACTTTAAAGGGTTTCTCTTACAAGCTAAGTGCTTAATAGAAGCTTATTCTTTTCATTCATTTGTTCATTTATTCATTCAGTTAAAAAAAAAAAAAGCAATGGGTTTGAATCCAGAGGACCCAGAATGGAATCCCAGCCTTGGCACTTAAAGTTAGCTTGACTTTGTCAAGTGGCCTAGCCCCCCTCAGTCTCTTCAGCTTCAAAATGAGAAGGCTGAACAAGAAGACCTCTAAGTCCCCTTCCAGTTCTAGATCTGTGGCCCTAATTAGGCACCTACTGTGCGCTGAGCATTGTAGGAGATACGAAGCTCAAAGGAGGCACAATCCCTACATTCTACGAGAAGTTCATTGGAAAAGAAACAGAAGAAAGAGCTGGGTGAGTCATGAGAGGACAAAGGCCTCTTCCTACAGAGAAGGCTTTGTGCAGGGGCAGCATCTGAGCTCTATTTTAATGGAGATGTAGAAATGCCACTGAAGAGGGGAAAGGAACACCTGGCAGGCACAGGCAAAGGCGTGGAGGTGGGAGAGCAAAAGGCATGTTCTGGAGAAAGGGAGGGTGTGGCAAACAGATGCCCAGTTCAACTGGAACCCGGTTTGGCTGTGAGGAATTACAGGTCAGTCTGCAAGGGGGGCAGCAGGGGTCTGCCAGAAGACGCTTGAACAGGCTCATGAGAGTTGATTATTAAATTTTCAATGTGGACATCTAAACCTCAGAAATCAGCAAATGCTACAATTGAGGACTTGATTTATTATTTTGTCAATTGTCTAGATTGAAGAAAGTGATGGGAAAAAATGTTCATAATGCCAAGATCAGTTGTTCAACATTTACCAGCGCACCATGGAGGATGGTGCCAGATCAGGGAGGGCCATGAATGCCTCATAAAGGACCCACTCTTGGAAGCTTTTCTGAATATCTAATTCTAATTCTTCCTGCTGTCACTCCTGCCCATTGTCTGCCTCCTTCACGTACCCAGACTACTGCATCGAGTTCCCTGCAGGGGGAGGTGTCCGGGGTGGGGGGTGGTGCCAGGTTTGTCCATCTCTCCTCTCCCTGTGCGGGTGCCCTCCCCAGTGAAGGGCTGAGAAGACACAGAACAGGAAAGTTAAGCTTCTCAGTGTTGTGCCAACATGGCCCTCACAGCCGGCAACCTGACGCCTTCCTCCTGCCTCCTGCCAGGCACCTGTCTCTGCTCATCAGGGATCCCCCTTGTACTGACCTTTGGCAGACCCCCCAGAAGAACCAAGCGGCTGTTATAGGAGGAGTGAAGTCGCCTGGTCTCCTCCTACTTTGCTGAGGGCAGGGATGGGAGGAGGGAGGTGACTTTCGTTGCTGACAATGAGAAAATTAGGAGGGGGGTGGGGATCAAGTCAGAGGGGCTTCTGGCAGGAGCTGGCCTAGGTGTGGGCTCAAGGAATGACATTTTCCAGCGAGTTTCAAAAGTACATAGAGCCGGAAGGAACCTTGGAGACCATCTAGGCCAGGGGTTCTTAACCTGGGATCAACCTGGGTCTATGGAGAGATTTCAAGGGGTCTGTGAACTTAGATGGGAAAAAATTATATCATCTTTTCATTAACCTTCGGTTTCCTTTAGAGTTCTGTGTATGTGGTTTTATGCTTTTAAAAGCCTGATTCTGAGAAGGCGTCCACAGGCTTCACCAGACACTGTCAGAGGGGTCCATGATGCAAAGAAAGGTTATGAGCCCTGGTCTACTCTGTTGTTATTCAGTCATTTCAGTTGTGTCTGACTGTTCAGGACTCCATTTGGGGTTTTTTTGGCAAGGTTAGAGGAGTGGTTTGTCATTTCCTTCTACAACTCATTTTGCAGATGAGGAAATGAGGCAAACACAGTTAAGTGACTTGCCCAGGGTCACACAGCTAGTAAGTCTCTGAGGTCAGATTTGAACTCAGGAAGAGGAGACTTGTTGACCTCAGGCCTGGAACTCTATCCATTGCACCATCTAGCTGGCCCATCTGCTCTAACCTCCTCATTTTACAGATGAGGAAACTGAGGCCCAGAGAGAGGGAAGTGACTTCCCCAAAGTCATATGCAGAGTCAAGAGTTGAACCTAAGTCCTCAGACTCAAAATTCAGCAGGCTTCCTATGTCAGCACATCACCTCTCCATCCTTCCCCAACCAACCCTGAGCTTGAGATCAGGGACTTATTGCTGGATGGGCATTAGAAATTAGGGTATCTAGTGTGACTCTCTCACTTTCCACATGAAGGAATAGTCAGACAGAGAAGTCCAGTGACTCCCAAGGCCTAGTCCCAAATTCCTCCCCTCCCCTCCCCTAGTATTAACTGGCAGAATCAGGATCTGATTCCAGGTCCTCTGGATTCAAATACAGTTTCTTTGGACTATCCCATGTTGCCTAGATGAATGAATGAATGAATGAATGAATGAATGAATGAATGAATGAACAGTACTGAAATTTGAACCTGGCCCAATTCAAGTATTCTTCTACTACACTATACTGACTTCGCATGGTCTCCATCCCTAACTTCTTAAACTGAGAGATCCACTTCATCAATCTTGCCCTCAGTCTCCCACTCATTGCAATGGGGGTGTTGAGATGGTATTTTTTTAGAGCATCCAAGGTCCCAATGCAGTCTGGGATGGGGGGGGCACTGAGGCACATCTAGCCTGTTTGTTACCCTTAGTCCTCCATCCATCACAAGTTAGGGAGCTGGTGGTAAGATACAGTTTGTCCTAGCAGGTTTCCTTTCCCAGCCGTGCTTGTAATGAGGTTCAGAGATGAGGATGTTTGCCCTTACCAGAGCACAGCCTTGGTGAGCTGCAGGGGAAGTAAGCAGGGATTGAAACCGGCCATTTTGCTTAGCATAGATGGCTTGTGTATAAGTAAAACTTTTATGCATGAGTTTCCCATCTCAAAGAGACGAGCGAGAGTCAAGAATGCACTGATCTCAAAAGTAAATGCTGAGAACTATCTTTGTATGTAGTTGGAAAGAATACTATTAAGTGCAAAAAAGGAGTAAAAAAGAAAAGAAAGAATGCTCCCTGGGGTACCTCTAACCATGCACCCCCCAGCCCCAGCCCTGAGCACACAAAGCAGCTAGACCAGCGTTAGCCTGAGTAAGGGGTCTATAGCTCTACCAAGGGGTCTAGCATGGGGCGGGTGGGTGCTTGGAGAATCAGATTCTGTTAAGTAAACAAGAGACCCAGGTCAGGCAGGAAACTTGAGGATCATCCAGCTAATGGCAAGCCAGCTGCTGATTGGGCTGCCCTGAGAGGCATCAGCCACTGTGGGGAGCTGGGGGTGGTGGTAGAGAGAAGCTGATACCCCTCTCATACTGCCAAAGTATATTTGGGACCATTTGCTTTCCATT